TTTTTCAGCAAGCGGACCTGGCCTAGGGAGGATTTTATACTGGGTTCATTTTAAGGAATTCGAAATAACACAACTTTAAAATTTGGTTTAATTCGGTTTTACAGGGGGGGATTGTATATATGCCTTTGTTTTAAATATGTTGTGAGCCGCCCTGAGTCCCGTTGGGAGAAGGGCGGGATATAAATTAAATTAAATAAATTAAATAAAATAAATATACTATTGCTGTAAACTACATTCAGAAAAACTGAATTGTTTAATACAAGTGCAGGAGCCTTTTTCCCGCCTCTATTAGATGTTTATGAGATTATTTCACTTTTGTTTAAAAAGCTGCCCAAAAGACGCATATAGATAAGTTAAGTAAGTAAGTAAGTAAGTAATTAGTAAGTAAGTAAGTAAATAAATAGAATTAAGATTATGCCTTTAGATTTAGTTGGCATTGAATTCACATTTTGCTTTAACAAAGAATCTTTTAAAATAACCTAGCTGATAACATTGAATTCAAATGAATGGTTGCTTTCTACAAATTATGCAGTCAAAGCCGTTTAAAATCAAGAAACAGTTTTGATTTTATGCCTTTCAGTTTTTCTTTGCTGAACCATAGCCTCATCTCAAGGAACCTAAAACTAACTCTAAGGTTCTAGTTCAAATTCATTTTGTTTGAAATTATCTTGATCAAGAAAGAATGCATTGATTTGAATGCCTTAATATAAAAAAGGAAACTACAGACCAATCAGTCTAACATCAATATCAGGGAAAATACTGGAAACAATAATCAAAAAAACAGATCTGCAAACATCTAGAAACAAATAAAATGATAACTAGAAGCCAGCATGAGTTTGTTAAAAACAGATCATGCCAAACCAATCTTTGACAAAGGTGACTAAATTAGTAGACCACTGAAATGCTGTGGACATAATATACTTAGATTTCAGTAAGGCATTCGACAAAGTGGCCCTATCCAAGAGGATAAAATTTAATGTGGAGAAAAGCAAGGTTTTACACTTAGGCAGGAAAAAACAAAGATATAAGTATAGATTAAGTGAAACCTGGCTCAAAAATAGTAACTGTGAGAAAGACCTTGGAGTGCTAGTGGACGATCATTTAAATATGAGCCAGCAGTGTGCAGCAGCATCCAAAAAAGCTAATACAATCCTGGATTGTATTAACAGAGGAACAGAATCAAGAACACATGAAATATTAGTACCGTTTTATAAAACTCTAGTAAGACCACACCTGGAATACTGCAACCAATTTTGGTCACCATACTACAAAAAGGATGTTGAGACTTTGGAAAAAGTGCAGAAAAGAGCAACTAGGATGATTAAAGGCCTGGAGACTAAAACATATGAAGAATGGTGGCAGGAGTTGGGTATGGCTAGTCTAGAGTAAAGAAGGAGTAGGGGTGACATGATAGCAATATTCCAATATTTGAGGGGCTGCCACAAAGATGAGGGAGTCAACTTATTTTCCAAAGCACCAGAAGGCAAGATCAGAAACAATGGATGGAAACTAATCAAGGAGAGAAGCAACCTGGAATTAATTTCCTAACAGTGAGAACAATTGACCAATGGAACAGCTTGTGGGTGCTTCATCACTAGAGGTTTTTAAGAAGAGACTGGACAGCCACTTGTCTCAAATTGTATAGGATCTCCTGATTGAGCAGGGGGTTGGACTAGAAGACCTCTAAGGTCCCTTTCAAATCTATTCTGATCGATTAATTAAATATTGTGTACTGGCATGTTTGGTCAGTTTTTTTCTGTGTTTCCATGTAAAATTATTGGCTTTGCATTTCTGTCTGTTCCTTTGAAACAATCTAGGACACAACAAAACAGGAAAAGTCTGGTAATTTTATTTCAGTTGTTTCTGTGTTACCCTTTTCAGGACTCATCAGGAAGACGGTTGTTATTCCTTTCTGTCATCTACACCACTGGATATGCTCTGTCTTTCTCAGCCCTTGTTATAGCAACTGGCATCCTCCTTTGGTTCAGGTAACCCATGTGGCTAAAAAGAATGAATTCTAGTGTAGGAAAATATCTGGTACTTGATGCTTAATTTTAAAACTTAAATGTAATGATGAATAATTAGAAGTGGTATAAAAATTAAACTTCATATGTTAGTTGGGAAATTTTCAAAGTATGGGCTTAAAGAGAAGTATATAATAAGAAGTTTGTCTTGAGTGGATTTGTGGGACAGGAAAAAAGCTGCACTATAAATAAATAAAAAGAAATCTAAACATTACTTTTAAATTGGACACAGCTAAACTGTTATGAATATTCCTTTTAATAAATTGGAAGAACATTTGTTTTGTTAGAGGTAGAAACAGAAAAACTTTTTTTCAATATAATTTTGTTCTGCTATATCATCTGCTTTTAAATATGGTTTGTTATAAGTTGGTAGAAATAAGGAGAAGGAGTTCCGAAGTAAAGTACTGCTGCTGCAATGATGAAAGGTTTAGTCACTGAATTAAGTTTTTCTTTTTGACATGTTGAAATTTCAGTTCTCTTAACTTGATGCTCATAATGAATTTTCATTTTTGCTTATTGGGATCCCAGAAGTGAAATCATGTTCCACTTATTCCTACTGTGTGCATGCAATTCTTTCTTAAGTGCTATATCAGTAATACTCCTCTCTTTCAAACAATTGCTGGTAAATAGCATGATTTCTCTTGATGGTAATAGATGCTTCTGTCACAATCTCCTGCAGAAATGTGCAGAGCAGTTAAACTAAGCATGCTTTACACAATGGGTTTTTAAATCTTTACCTACGGGACTTAAAACTCAATTTTAAGGCTTTGTTTTTAAACCCTTTTCTTTGAATACTATAGAAAATGGTACCCCATTTATAGTTCAGCATATTTTTTAGTATCAGTAGTTTGCTTTCTGTTTCAGAAATGAGAGCAGCCCACAAATTCATTTTTAACTCTACAGGGTAACTAGCTCATGTACACATTTCATTTTTGAACAGAGCTCCCTTAATTCTCACTTGACAGTCATTACAGCCTACACGTTTTCAAGTGAATTTAAGCATCATAATTATATTTACAGGCATCTGCATTGCACCAGGAACTACATTCACTTGAACCTTTTTACTTCATTTATCCTACGTGCTGTGTCCATCTTCATTAAGGACTCCATGCTCACGTGGATGTACAAGACAGCCCCTCGTCAACAACAGTGGGAGAGTGTAATTTCCTACCAGGTATATGATAAGGCTAAAAATATTTTCCTAAACAGAAGTATGTGATTGCAATATATTTGCATTAAAGTGTACATTTACTTTTGGTGGAAAGCTTGTTAGATTTACATATGATTATAGATGAAAATACTTAAAATAGAAATCCCTTTCTGTTCCCTTATGGATAAGATTTCTTCTTCACTTCCATTTTCTTTTATTATTTTTTTAACTTTTCAGAAGTCTAAAAGCAACTGTTAGTGCTTAGATCATCCTTAAAATGGTAAATCTTGATAACTTGTCCAACACTTGTGCTTTTTAATTACTATCCTAACAAATATGATTAGAAATATTCCTTGAAAAAGATATCATTTGTCTCATAATAAAAACATTGAAATACCACATAATACTGTCTAGCCCAGGGGTGTCAAACTGCCTGCCCATGGGCCGGATGCGTCATGGTGAAACGGTGCCCACCCCATTGCCGGCAATGGAAAAAAGTTGCGACATGTCACGTGACGCTGCGAGTTTGATACCCCTGGTCTAGCCCCATTCCAATTCTATATAAATCAACCCACTTTTGTCTGAGAGAGGAACCAGGATATAAGGTGTAATTGGAAATGTAGTCACTAACATTTTCAGAAGAAATGGTAGCTCTTATTTTTATTCAAAGTTTTATTTTTGAACAATGGCTTATATTCTGAGAAGAATAAACCCAGAGAAACAGACAGAAGGAGAACACACTGCCCTTCCGAAATCTCTTCAGAATATGATGAGGCATAAGCTCCTGCAAGGTTGAAAAAAGGGAATTTATGTATTTTGGCAGAGGCAAAGTTTTGCCTTCACAAAGCATCTCTTCATCCTTTTCTGGCAGCTTCTGTTGCCACAATCCAAATTGCTCAACTGAGGTCTCATATCTTGAGTGATGTGTGTGTGTGTGTGTGTGTGTGTGTGTGTGTGTGTGTGTGTGTGTGTGTGTGTAAGATGAGCATAAGGGAAGCTGCCTCTTGGGCAGAATAGAAATGTCCCTTTGGACATGGATGAAAACATTATAATGCTTCAAGGCAGCTAAGAAAATAGATTAAATAGGCATGGTAAAGGGGTGTATAGTGAAGGAATATCTGCTACTGAATTTGATTATTTTTTAGCCTGATGTTGACAGTCTCCAAAGATTGCTGCTCTATTATCAAACCTGTGGGGGCATTGTGGCATTGTGGTTTCATGTGCACTTTACATTTTTCCTGGTCTGCGGCACCTAAAGTATTTACTCAACTCTCTGTTCTCTCAGGAGTCACTTAGCTGCCGTCTGATCTTTGTGATGATGCAGTATTGTGTGACTGCAAACTATTACTGGCTACTGGTGGAAGGAATGTACCTGTACACTCTACTAGCCCTCTCAGTATTTTCTGAGCAGAGAATCTTTCGACTTTACCTTTGTATTGGCTGGGGTAAGTAGGATTTCCTGCCTCTTTTTCAAATATGGTATTTCTTGGTTTAGTATTTTAGGAGACGTGAAATGAGGAAATACTGCTTTTTATTACAAAGAAATATTGATCTTTGGATCCACTTTGTCTGCTTTTACACTCGTGAAGAGCCTTTCAATAAGAACATGCTCAGAAATAATGCAGAGGCCTTTCTGAATTCTCTAGCACCATCGGTGAGGAGGAGGATTATATGCTTTACTTTTAATACTAGCATTACACGTAGTCCCCATCTTACAACAGTTCATTTAGTGAGCTTTCAGAGTTACAACAGCACTCAAAAAAGTGACTTATAGCCATTTTTCACACTTATGACCATAGCAGCATCCTATTGTCACATGATTTACATCCAGATGCTTGGCAATTGGTTCACAGTTATGATGGCTGCAGTGTCCTGGGATCATGTAGTATAGATCTCTATTTCATGGCTCAGAGGCATTTTTTTGTTATGTTTACTACCATGTTGCCTTATATAATCAGGCAAATCTTTAAGATAATATATAATGCTTCACTGTAAATATACATTATCTGGTAGCCTGTCATTTCATTAATCAAATCATTTTTAAACAGTGATATATTTCTGCACAGGTGCAGCATATACAAGACAAGCTTCCCAATACGTTCTGGATTGTAGAATCAATGTAGATTCTTAGTTTAATACAGTCTAGCCTGTATTGTGTTAAATGCCAGTGGGGTACAATTTTAAAATGCATCTTGAATGGATTTGATGGGGTCTTTTCTCTTCCACAGTTTTACATTCCTATGTGAACATTCAAAATGAGTACACTGTAAAATTCATCTAAATGATCACCTGCATATTATTTATGTGATCCTTCCAAGTACACATGATGTATGGAGGATGAATATATTATGTTCTGTCACAACCAATAATCAATGAAGTATTCACAAGAAAATAAATTGGGTTGTTCTAGTGAAAGTTGCATAGATCTAATAACAGTCTACTTGCTGTAAATTATTTAAAGTTATAGAAAGTAAAAACATGCAAAATGATGAGCCCTGTCCTAAAATTATTGAACAATTTTCTAAGAAAGTTGAAATGGAATGAAAAAACTATTATAATTATTTAGCAGAGACCCAACTGCATTACAAAATACATAAAAGATTGACCTGAAATATTTCTGATTGCAGATTATATTTAGCAAAACTTGAGTTCAGTAGTTATCATCCAGAAAGCTAACTATACATGGTACATTCTGAACAGAGGCTGTCTATGCCTGTTATGAGCTGGAAACAGAACATTAAATGAAGCAAAAGGGATTGTGTAATTTGTTTAGAACAAAAAAACCCAAATTATCTTTGTATACAAGGAGTTCTGAATCATGCACAATTACCCTGCTGTGATCAATAGACCGAACGTACTGTAGTTATCGTCTGTTTTCTTTATTGAGATGATACTATCGTAAGACATAAGTTTTAAAATCCCATTTTATAGGCATAAAATAAGGTATAAAAGTCAACTTAGTTAAACAAAAATAGAATTTGTCCCTTACTTTTGTGTATGTAATAATTCAGTCTAATTTGTGATTTCTATAAGGAAATATATAAAGTGAGATTCCCTGTCCTCCAACTTTTCAAATTACCCAAGACCACCATGTTTTTCAGTGTGCCATTTTGCAGCAAATCCCAGACCCTAAATAGCGAAAGTCACTAAATGATATTTGAACATTTTAGTGGTGATCCATCCTGTTTTTAATTTTCTTTTTTTCCCTTTAGAAAATCATGCTCATTTTATACTCAGCCTATGAGAGATTTATTTCTCCAGGATTAGAAGCATGATCTTTTTGCAGTAAAGTAAATTGAAAAGCAAACTGCTGTGGGTAATTCTTCTTGACTTGGACTGATTATTGAACAACCATTTATAGTTATGACGGCATCTGAAAGAGTGCTTTACAGCCAACTGAGCACTTCCAGCCATCGTAAAATGTCACACTCCACTCCCACAGTCATGTAACCACATTTTGGGTACTTGGCAACCTGTTCCCACTTACAATTGGTTGCCAAGCACCCTGTGATCATGTGATTGCCATTTGCAATATTTTTGCTAGCTTTTCCAAAATTCTGTAGGATTTTACAAATCTTCTGTAGAAAGACTGCCCCCCACCCCCACTGCTGGGTGTACCTGTCAGGAGCTGCAGAAAGATGGAAAGATAAGCTGTGCACTTCTGGATCCTGGAGTTGGCTAAGTGCTCCCATGGGTGGCTGAATAGATGGGTGGGGAGCAGTCCAAAGGCCTCCAGGGCTGTGGCAGCTTTGTATGTGTCAGCAGGCCCTGAAGCTGCCTGAGGGCTACAATGTGTGGCTGAATGGCTGGGTGGGGAATAGGCTGAAGTTCTCTGAGGCTGAGGCAGCTCTGGAATTGGCCAAAGCCTCCTGGTCCATGACAGATTTTCATGCGCTGGTGGGTCCTGCCCGCCCTGTGGTCTCCCTCACACCCTGAGACATCCCCCCTCTTCACTTAATGATTCATGCAGTCACTTAATGATCACAATTAGGTGAGCAGGGACTGCAGTCATTGTACGAAGTGATCATATGGGCAGAGCCTTCTCTGTCGGAGAGCCTTCTCTGTCGGAGCACCCACCCTCTGGAACGAGCTGCCCCTTCTCTGTCGGAGCACCCACCCTCTGGAACGAGCTGCCCCCAGAGATCCGGGTGATTCCGGATCTCCCCTCCTTCCGCCGCGCCCTCAAGACCTGGTTATTTCAGCGGGCAGGACTGGCCTAGGGGTATTTTAAATTGGTTTTAATCAAATTTTTAGTAGAAGCGGCCAAATTTGAATATTTATTTTTAATCATTTT